GAAAAACTTAACATTTAACAAGAAAAAACTCAAGTTGGTTTTAAAAATCGCCGCAAAACATTATTGATTATTTAAGATGGAAGGATCTATTATGACGTCTATAATTCGTATTTAGATACATTGTATTTATTTTCAAATTTTCTAGTTGAATTTTTCACCTATATTGCATACTAACAGTAGAGCCCGGTGTTGCCTGGGGATGTAACAGTAAGAGATAGATCAAGTATCGACCATCATAAAGGCTGAAAAATAAAATTGACAAAGATTATTGTTTAAAGTTGACGGACACGCATGTCTTAATTAGTATTTTTTTTTACGAATTGGTCAAACTCAAACAAAAACATTGTTTTCAATCGTTATGAGTCTACCGATTGAATAGAATTTTATTATAAACAATTGTCTTGTAAATGGAATTTTTAAAGCATTCTGAATGTAAAAATAAAGAAAAAAAAAGTATGCAAGACAATAAGAAACACTACCTGAAAAAAAAAAGGTGAAGTTTTGTTGAAATCGGTTGAAAAATGTAGGAAATCCGATCCCATATATAAACACAACACACACACACACACACACACACACACACACACACACACACACACACACAAACTCTGGGTTTTATAATAAGTATAACTCGATATGAGTTGTCCCCCTTTCATTCTCGCGACAGCGACGCCTCTTAATCGTGTTTTCAAATTGATTTCATGCAAAAACAATTGTTTTTCCAATTTTTGGCGCTGTCAGAACCACCGCAAGGTAATTTTACGTAGTCCTGTGAAGTTTTGTTGAAATCGGTTGAAAAATGTAGGAAATCCGATCCAATATATAAACGAACAGACACACACACACACCACCTGGGTTTTATAATAAATATGATGATCCGTTATTGTACATAGTTAAGTTACAATAAAATTTATATTTTATATAAATACTACCTTATAAAAATTAAAATGTAGTAGAGTGGAAAGCCCTGTATCATAGATTCAGGTGGCACGAGATCCTGACACCGGCCTTCCTTACAGAACGTATTGAAGGCAAAAAGAGCAGAGAAAAACAACGAATAACCTTCCTAAAGAGTTCATGTAAATTGATGGCAGAGCAAAAAAAAAGCGATGGTAAGAAACTGACGTTCTTAGAGATGCAAGGAACAGAAAGCCGTGGAGGGCCGCATTCTTAAGGGATATGGCACATATTCAACCCTATCTATATTTTATACTTTCCTCAATCTGCCCTATTCTCATTCTTCTATTTCGCTTTTATTCCACGAGTATTATTGACATTACCTCATTGCTTGGGATGAAATGAATAAAAAAAATGTGTAGAAAATCTGCATGAACCGTTTACAAATTAGAAAGAAAAACCACGTGAACATAGAAATCATTACTACATTATCATCATTAAGGCAGTGGACCGGTGATATGGTTAACGAACCGGAGTTGTAAATGAACGCGAGTTGACTAAAATAACCTTACTATTAAAAAGCATTTAAATCCACCCATGCCTAGATTGAAACATTTTTTTTTTATTGACAGTGGATTGCTGACTTTAGATATGAAGGTCCTTCGCAATTTTTTATTATGTTTTACAGTTGGCGTGGTGAAGAACTTTTGCATTGTCAACTACAATCTGGCTGTAATTAGAAGTATTGTGGGTTTCTCTTTTTTTTGTATATATATTTATGTATATTTTTTGTATGTCGCACATTGTTCAGTGATTATGGGACGGTCTTCTTGAGGGAATTTTTGTCGCATGACCATTATATATTGATGTTATCTTATTATTCGTATCTGTAGAGAAAAAGTCGCCCATCCCCCAAAAGAAAGCAAACTGTTACATAAATTATTCTTCTTTTCTTTGAAAAATATTATAAGTAAACACAAAATTGTAGACGATTTTTTACTATCTGTGGAAGTAATATATTTATCGATTATACTTCTTATTGATTATCTTTATGTAAATGGAAGGTATTTGGTTACAGTTAACACTTTGAAGGCGAGCGTCCGGTATACCGGCCGCTATGTGAAAGGGCATATACTTTATTGGTCAGGTTTCAAAGTGTTAAATGAGTTATTAGCAATTTTATTGCGATTTAAATCGTGTTTTTGATAGAGGTGCGGTTTTTTTTTTAACTGTGTCGGCGTGCGCATGCGTGAAAACGTAATAGACTGTGCTTAATATAAAGTAGGGGCGATAAATTAACGTTTGAAGTAATAAAATGTTGATATATATATATATATATATATATATATATATATATATATATATATATATATATATATATATGGTCTAGGAGAAGGACAACTCTGAATTCAAAACCTGCGGAGGGTCGTTTGGGGACCTTGCGGCATTCGGTGCACCAGGTTTCTGTATTCGTCCTTCAAAAGTGTGGATTGTCCTGCACGAGGCCTTCACCACTATAATCAAATCTCATGTGCCGGTGTCGGGCCGTCGGTTTGATCTGCTTGACCCTCATGCGTCGAATCTCGACGGAGAGTCAATTATATATATATATATATATATATATATATATATATATATATATATATATATATATATATATATAAAGCGTTTCACCCTAAGCAAGGCGGGAAGCCACTAGGACGCAAGGGGTTACAGAAAATTTGGAGCAAGATCAGATTGGAGTGATAGAAGAAAGGATGAGCAGAAGGGTAGTGGATAGATCAAGGCAACTGGAGGTGTCGATTGAAATTACATTTGAATAGCTGGAGATTATAGCTCTCAGGGAAACTGGAATAGGGAAGGGAGTTCCACAGGCGAGAGGTGCGAGACATGAAGCTATTGGAGTAGAAGAGACGGCTACATTTAGGAGTTTCGACAATGAAGGGATGAGAGCGGGATGCCAGCCTCGTAGGGCGCTTGAACTCGTGAAGTCTGGGAACCAGCGAATGCAGCTCCTCGGAGCAATTGCCATGAAAGTATTTGTAAAACAGACAGAGAGAGGCGACGGCGCGTCTGTGAGAAAGTGACTGTAGACGAGATGCCAGAGCAGGGCCAATTATATTGCATATCCGCCCGAGGATGTATGTATGTATGTATGTATGTGTGTGTGTGTGTGTTTCAGTAAGATTAACCCTTTACCAGGCCCTGGGACCACTTCAGGTAGAGAGTTACGTTAGGAGGAATTTGTGGGATGGAGGTGGAAGATAACTGTTAACCTGAGTCTTAGTAATGTTAAGACTCTACTAATAGGGGAAACATACTCTTCCAGTAAGTGGATCGCTGGAGGAAGCTTAGATTGGATCTTACTTCTCACCCGTGAAATACAGAAGGAATGTTGCTGGTTTGCCTCTATGTAACTAGCATGGCGTGTCTTTACCGTGCGTGAATGTTTGAATTGGCGGGACCTGGGAATGTAGTTCGCCTGAATTTATATATATATATATATATATATATATATATATAATGAAATGTAGTCTTAAGATGTGCTATATTTCTGTGATAAAGTGCTCAATATCAGTGATAGATCGTATGTTAGTATAAAAGTGAACACGGAAGTCAACACTCAGAGGTCACACACTGTTTAATGCTAAGCAATCAGGTGACTTGATAATTGCGTTTAGAATGAAACAGTCTATCGCCTCTGAATGCTGACTTCAATGTTCACTTTTATATATATATATATATATATATATATATATATATGTATATACATATATATATGTGTGTGTGTGTTTGTGTGTGTGTGTATGTATAAACTGTGTGAATAGCAGATGAGAATTCTTTCATTTTTACTAATATATATATATATATATATATATATATATATATATATATATATATATGAATTTGTACTTCTGCATATTTTACTGTGTCTGTCTAATGAATATAATACGTTAAGTATATTTCGTGGTATTGCCATATTCCTCGTTGTATAAAACTGATTTTGCTTTAAATCTCGATTTCGGATATTTTTCAGTACTCTTCATTTAAGTAGTGGAGAAAATACAGAAATATAAAAAAGATATGTTCCTTTGCATCCAGATGTTTTAGTAATATGCACACAAGCTGACCTTATCATCAATGAAAACAATAAATTCCTTGTCAGTAAAAACTTTATGACATGACATCCGTAAATGCCACGTTCTTTTCATAGCATCAAGTTCAATCTCATTTTCAAAAAGGTAATGGCGGTCATTTGATGCTCGTTTGACTTTCTCGGGTCAAAGAAGGTGATGTTTTATTTGACATAGTGTACAACATACCATACTTACAAGAAAAATCCGAATCGACTTACAAGAAGGAATTTTAAGCATCAAAATTCCTGCACCAATAAACCCCACAACATAAACCGGATGTTTATAATATTTGTAACAAGATAATACCCCAAATATAACAAATGCAAAACTGACCAACAAACAATAAGTTCAGTTTGATTTCTGTTTAAAACGGGTTTTTTTTTTCAAAAGTTGTATTAATTTAATTCGATATTTACAAAGCTAAGGTTTGTAAAGTCAGAGATAGGAATCTTGTTCGTCGGTTGGTTATTTTTCTTTAGATGCAAATCAACCTTTAGGAGTTATTTAATACCGAAATCTAAATACTTTATATGTAATTTTATTTATTTATTTATTTTAAATAATAACGCTTTATGTGATACAATTCTTAGAAATTAATTCAGAGCTGTCAGGAGGGAGAATATGTGGATTCATACCATTCCCAATGGTATTTGCATGTAAGTGAATATAACGAACACTACTGGAATTTCAATTAGGATCGACGGTTAACAATTCCGTGACATTATCCATTACACCAAGCGGTCATTCCTCTAGGTACTGGCCTTTGCTTAACGGTTGCGATAATAATGATTTAGCGATAAAAGTCTTACTAATTGGCGCGTAGTTGGAGGGAGAAAAGATGGGTTCATGCTTTTGCCAAAGGTATTTACGTTTACGTGAATATAACAAACCCGATTTGAATTGGAACTCGGATCTCTGATTAACAATTTCGAGCTATTATCCATTACATGAAAGTCACATCCAAGGTTACATCACCTGGTATTACCAAGCCGTCGCCCATACACGTACTGACCCGGCTCGTTGGTTAACTTCGATGATCATATGAGATCCGTTGGTTTCAACGTGATGTGACCGTCAGCCTTGAAATAGGTGTCGTTCTATTTTTTTTTCTTCGTGACGCAGGCAATTATTGTTTCTACAGTGATTATTTTATTATCTGGAAATTTTCATAACTACGAGAAAAAGGCCATGGAGGGGTTTTCCGTTGTTTTGAATTTAGCATATTCCTTCCTTTATGCTGAGAGGCTACCAAGGCTAGATAGACCAGTCAACTCTGCTGTTTAACCTATAAGTAGTAGAAGTGAATTCGTGAATCTTGGAAGTAACTCGGGTTGACGATAGCGGTTACTCTAACCATTAAAGTATGATTTCTTCTTTTATGTGACATGTCCCTTCAGTGCTTGGCTGATTATGACTCTCCACGACGTCCTATCACTCGTAGTAGTAATTAATAAACGACCTCTTACTATCCCATGCTCTTCATAATCTGCCGTTTACACAAGTTTAGATTACTTGCTGCTTCCCTCTGTCTGTTTTGTCCCGGTAAGTGTCAGATCCGCCAAGCCATCTTTCCTCATTGTCTGTTTCAGTAATTACAACTCTGTTTTTTTTTTCTCTTTTTTTTATCCTAATCAAAGTATCCATTTTGTTTCTATTTTCCATAAAACTCGTTGCTCACACGTTCCGTCTATGTTAATTCGTCTTTTTCTAGGGTATACTCTATCTGCTGGCTCGCGTCTCCTTTTCATATTTGAGGAAATTGTCCAACATTCACTGCCATAAATAATAATTGGCATTACATAACAGTTGAACACTCCTATCTTTGTTTCTAACGAATTATTCTGTTTCTTATTATTGAACCAAGTTTCTGGGGCATCTTATTTTTTTCAAATGCTCGGTCGTATTTCGGTGTCACATTTTTCCATTGCCTGTTATGACATTATTCCTATATTTTTTGCTTAGTTTCTGAAAGGCATCTTTCGTTATCCCAATGCGGCTTCGTATTTCTGCCACATTTCTTATTCCCCAATTATGGCATTTTTCTTAATAGTGTGTTGAGTTTCTGTAAGACATTTTTCTTTATCAAATTCACCTTCTTACTTTGTCACATTTTCCATTGTCCGTTATAACATTTTTGTTAATATTGAGCTGAGTTTCTGGAAGTTGAATTTCGTTACTTAATGCTCTGTCTGTTTCACATTTTTCACCGTCTGTTATGACTTTTAGCAGAAAGTTACATTTCTGTAGTTGCTCTGTTTTGACGTCCTCAAATTTGGACTCTCGTTTTGGACTTTTTCTCTTGCTAATGACCAGACATTCCGTCTTACAATTTGCCTGAGAAGAAAAAAAAAACCCAAAAAACTTCGAAGTCCTAGCTTAGAATTGGACTTGAACGCCAATCCCTGGAACATTTTTAGTCACGAGAAAAAGTCGAATTGAGTCAACATATATTTGATCTTACACATGCCTTTGTCGACGTCTTACGTAATAAAAATGAATCATTTTGTAAGCGAGTGCAGTTGGGTTTAATACATAAAAAACAAGGTTTGTGTCAAAAGTTGGGTCACTTGCTTCAACTCAAGTCATAATATTCATTCAAGTGAAAGTCAGTAAGACAAAGAAACTATTTGAAACAAATCTAATAAAGTTTCTTTAAATAACATTTTCATTCTCATAATTCTATTTTTCAGATTTAAATTCGAGTCGATTTTTGGGTAATAAATGTTTCAGATATATAAATACTGTTTCTATTCTTTTTTGTCGTAATTTTTGACGAAGAGAACAAACATAACATTTCTGTTAATTTTAGTAGTTTTTCATCGGTTTCACCTCAAGCAAGGCATGAAAGTCACATCCAAGGTTACATCACCTGGTAGTTGAAACTAACGGATCCCACTAAAACACATAGAGTTACTGGGTGTGGAAGAATTATGGACAAAAATATTAATAATGAATAGGAAGAGAAAACACTAGTCAAGAGGACAGCTGATAGCGACTGACATTTCATTTAAATTTTTCCAAACTAAAGTTGGCTGGAAAGCATGGCCCTGGAAGGGAATTCCACAATCGAGAAGTGCGAGAAACGAAAACGTTAACCTAGAATTTACTAGCTGAAATGTAAATTGATGAGATCTCGACGCCTGTGTAGTACTGCGCTTAATGTTTTTTTAAAAAAAGTCTAGGTACCATAGCAAAGAGCACATCTGAGCAATTACGGTGAAAGCAAATAGAAAAGAGACAAGGGACAACCTTATGGCGGCGGGAAATTGACTGAAACTGAGCCGCCAGGTAAGAACTGATAATATTGCTGATTCTTCTTTTGATTTTTTTCATGGAGTTCAAAGTAAATAGCAGGGCAACGGACCATATGTGATTGGATCCTTCCTTTTGTCGTGTGTATTTTGTTGTCCATATTGCCATTAATTATCAAAGCTCTTACTTCACCCAACATCTTTATTTTAGAATGTGGTCACCTATTGTTGGCTATCAATACTGAGAAATTGATGCGACAAGAGTGAACTAAGTTTTACCATCCCGATTTTTTTAGCTGGTAGTAAACATCAAAACAATGTCATAAGCCCTCGCATTTTATCTGTTTTTCCTTACTTATCTTTTTTTTTACAGGTTAATAGAAGTAGATAGGCTCACCTATCGTTCGACCCACACTTTTCCATACCTATTCAAAAGGAGTAGATGTTCATCCCTTGCTCTCTCATAGGTTTACTGGTCCTCTGTCATTCTTCTACTTGAGCCACAAAGATTTAACTGTCTTTATATTTTGGTGATCGGACTAGCCAGTGGCTGTGACTTTGCATTGTATCAGGTTGGCAATTTGCTGGCTGCTGCTTCCGACTGGTCGTTAGGAGCTCGAATTTTTGATAGTTTTTAGAGAGGCTTCTCCGATCAGTAGTCGCATAATATCGGGGTATTTTTCATGTCATGTCGCACATGGATAGGTGTCCTTGCACGTATTTCCAGTGGGCAATTCTGAGACTACATTACGTTCCGCTTTCAACCACGCACTGACTGGTTTGTATTGTCATTAACGACAGATATTAAAATTTACGGTTGTTTTTTTTCTTTCTACTCAAAAAAAAAATCTCGTGGAAATCACAACAAAAAGATATACAGCAAAAAAAAAAAAAAAAATACCCCACAATCTTTCTTTCTCCAATATTCGTGGTATCTGTCCCCACTTCTGCAGCGTAGAATCTTTTCACCTGGAATGGTCGCCAGATATATTTGCCCTCTGTGAATTCCTCCATTGCTAATAATGAATTCTTGGTTTCTAGGCTATCTTCCCCTTTGCCGAAAAGATTCCAGCATTCCAATGCATGGACATGCTATTTACATCTGGGACAATGTTTCGATAGCGATGGAATTGTCTCTTGAAGTCGCTGACGACTCTTTCATGTGCTTCCGTCTTTCGCTACTAAACTCTGTCAGCTATCTCTTTTTCCTTATCGACCCTCTTATTTCCAGGACTACTCTTGATTGTTCCGGTGTATCCTGCGTAACTTGCCTCCTAGAACTGAATCTGTTGAGTGATATGCATATAACCCCTTCCATAGTTTCTGCTATCATCTCTAACCTTGATCCCCACAAATCATATGAACCCAACGGTACCCCTGTAATTGTTGTTAAGAATGTTGCTCTTGAATTGGCTCCTGTTCTCTCAAAACTGTACAACAACTGTCTCCATGTTTCCTGTTTTCTGTCTATTCGAAATCGTCGTCTGTTGTTCCAGTTAAGAACTCAACTGAACTGTCCGACCCATCTAACTGTTGCCTTATTAGCCTTCTACCTTTTTATGGGAAACTTCTAGAGGCCCTTGTAAAGGCTGAATTGTTTTGTCATCTCTCATCCCAAGGCCTTTTCTTAGACAAGCAATACGGATTTCGTTTGTCCAGGTCAACTGCTGATGTGCAGACGATAATTGCGGAAACAGTCTGTCATGCTCTAGATAAAAACGTAAAGCTTAGGCTCTAGCATTGGACACCTCGAAAACGTTTCACCGATCCTGGCATACAGGTCGTCTCCACCAGCTGAAAAGTTACCGTATCTCTGATCCAGTCTTTCCTATCAAATTGTGAAATGAAAGTTATCCTGAACGGCTACTCATTCACATCCTATCTTACTAACGCAGGTGTCCCCCAGGGCTAAATTATTGATCATACGCTGTTTTTAAATTTTTTGACGATGGCATCTGCTCTCAACTTGGTATTTACGCTGACGACAATACAATTTACTCTTGCCTAGATAGTAAGACTGTTCAATCCGACAAGGCTAAAATGGCAGCTGATGTACAAAACGATCTCAAGACCGTTGTTAAATGGGGCAAAAGATGGAATATCAATTTTAACGCCTCCAAAACTGAACTTCTCTTCATTAATCATCCTCTGCTTGGCATTAACATGGCTGATGCTATCCACCAGGAAAGTGAACCATTACGCCTTCTCTAGCTAATGGTTTCAGCTGACATGATGTGGAAAGACTATATTGAATCAATTGCTAGGTCATCTGCCAGGAACATCGGTTCATTATGCTGTGCGAGACATTTTTTCTTTCCGGAATCTATCTTACATATCTATAAGTCTACCTTTCTTCTATGCTTAGAATATTGCTGCCATATGTGGTCCGGTGCCTCTGCTATTTACCTGAATCTCCTTGATAAAATCCAGAAAGTCTAAGTAATATTATTGGTCCTGATCTGCTGGCTCGTTTTCAGTCACATTCCCACGGCTATAAAGGTAACTCTATGTCTTTTCAATAAATACTTTCATGGTAATTGTTCGGATGAGCTCTTTGGTATAGTACCTAGATTTTATGAATTCAAGCGCGGTACTAGTCAGATGGCAAGATCGCATCAATTTACAGTTAAGCTAGCTAGATTTAGTTTTAAGTTCTATGCCAACATTTTCCATTCTCGCACTTCTCTCTTGTGGAAATCCTTTCAGGCTCCATGCTTTCCAGCCAACTTTAATCTGCAACAATTTAAATGCAATGTCTATCGCTAACTACTATTCTCCTGATTACTCTTTTTCTTTCTACTCATTACTAATGTTTCTGTTCTTAAT